CTAGACCTTCTTAAAACCTTGTCATCTTTCCTGGGAGTGATCGTCGAATCTGCTTCGCCTGCTTCCGCACGCGTTTTATCGAAAATCGATTATGGTGACCAGATTTATCCGCAGGCCTCTCCTGCTACTCCTCTGCCTTAACTCATTCCATCACCAGCTTACGTTTGTGCTTGGTGCTTTTCGCTCTTCCCCTGTTGAGAGCCTCTATACAGAAGGCAAAATGTTATTCCATCCTCTGTCTGATCGCCTTGATGCCCATTGCCTTCGTTACTATGTACGCTCTCACGATCTACACAATCTTCCATTTATAGAAGAATGGTCACCGATATTTGTAGACATTCTTTATTCGTTCGCCGCCCCTGTTTGCTCCGTCCCTTTTCTCTTAGCTACTTTCACTATTTGTCCCTTCCCTTCAGTTACCACTTTTATATGATCATGTAGCATCTCATTTCCTACCCCCCTGGAAGTTCCAGCTGTTCGGGTCTGATCTTTCTCCTCCCTTTTGTGATAGCCTCAACTGCCTACGGTGGCTTCCCGCTCTCTTTTTCTGATCACTTTCCACTTTATTTCATGCCCCCGCTCGTGTACACAGAAGGCTCTAAGTCTTCAGTCCGGCGTCGAATTACGCAGCATTGTTTCCGGACAGCGTGTACGGGGCATTTACTATCTTCAGCTAGCTCTTTTTACTGCTGAACTGTAAGCCATTCTTGCAGCACATATGAGACTCGGCATCTATGCTGTGTCCATCATTAGTAGTAGTCTCAGACTCCCATAGTGCTCTACTGGCTATACGGAAAAATTGATACATCTCATCCCCTAGTTCTCGTAACCAACTTTGGCTACGCCGTATCTCTACCAACATTAAAGATATTGATTTTTGGTTGGTCACCTGGTCATGACGACGTACAGGGCAATGAAACAGGCAGACACTGCTAGCGCCCGGTCCTCAGCAGTATAATGACCTACCAATTTCATATCGAGGTGTTCCATTTCTAGACTTTTTTGCTTGCAAAGCTACCCACCTTAGCACCCGTTGGCAACATCGTTGGTCAACTCTGCTCTCGGTAACAAAACTTCTTTCTTAATTAAACCGGCATAGGTTATCTGGCCGTCTTCTTTGTAATCAGTTGCCGAGGTAGGGAGACCACTCTCTCTCCCGCCTTCGCATATGAGCCACATCGTCTTAATCATGGGTATATCATGGAGAGGCACCCGGTTCTATATGTGGCAGTGTCAAGTTCCAGTATCGTTTAGCCCACATTTGTTAGACTTGCCCTCTCTATCATACGAGCACGCAGAATTTCCTCCAACGTCGTCTTCGTTCTCCTACTCCTATCTTTACCTTCACTTCTTGCTGATGGACCCTCCTTTAATCCTGCTCTCATCATTGACTTATTTGACAAAGACCTGATTTACTCCACAAACTCTGATGATTACTTTTCACACTCCTCTCTGCCCTTTCTGGTTCAGTCTCTTGCTGCCCTTTTCCCTTTCACCATCCACTGCCCGCTGTTATCCATCAACTGTTGCTCATCCAATCTCCCTTTTGCCACATGATGCCCTCGCTTCCTTCCTGCCTTGCAGAGATGTATAGTCCTTGTGGTTAATTGAGCCTTCTTTTTGATTTTAATATAATCTTTCTGATTCTCCATTCTTAGAATATAATATAATTAGAAGAGACCTTAAGAAGATACAAACTGCACTTTTTATATAATTAGTTTTTTCTTTATATATTTTTTTGCCATTTAGTGTTTTGAAAGCTGGCTTAGTTATTGGAGGTGGTGGATAAGCCTTTTCTTGAACTCACTTAGCACTACATCACAAACCTCTAGTTAAAACCATCCAACTACTGGAGCGAGAGAAAGGTGGGAGAAAAGGCAGGAACAACAAGAGGAAGAGGGAGGAAGGAGGGATGAGGAGGAAGGAAGGATGGAGAAAGAGATGAGGAAGATGCCAGAGGAGGAGGAGGAGGAAAGGGATGGATGGATGGATGAAGAAATTGAAGAAGGAGGATAATTCTTATTTGGCTAACTCAGCCCCCGCACACAATGCACGCTCAGTGTGTGTTACTCGCCCAGTTGTGGTTGCGGGGACAAAGTCACAGTGGCCTGCCTTGTCACTGTGAGAGGTTGAGTGTGTGACTGAAAGTTGTGATTGATGTGTGTGTGTTGGGGTGTGTGTGTGTGTGTGTGTGTGTGTGTGTGTGTGTTGTGTGTGTGGTGTTGTAGCTGTGTGTGTGAAGATGTGTTGTGCTGTGTCGTGTCTGCAGCATGTGTGTGTGTTTGTGTATGTGTTTTGTGTCGTGTGTGTGTGCCATTTGTGTGTGAGAGCATGTGTGTGTGTGTGTGTGTGTGTGATGTGTGTAGTGTGTGAGAGTTTGTGAGTTATAATCACTTTAAACTTTTTGGAATGTCAGTTGTTTTAGTTCCTTGAGTACCTGCAGTACATATAGCTTTTTTTTTTTTTCTTCAAAACTGAAAGTGATGCTAAAAATATTTATAATTTCAAAATTGAGCTTAAACCCTTGTACATATACAGAATTGGTATACACTGTATTGTCTCGTATATTGTACTGAGATGAAAGAGTGAGGCTATTCTACCCTCCTCAATATATCTACTGCAGTCAAATCATAACTTCTTATATTGTAAGTTGTAAGATGGTGTTCACAAAGTCATGCATCATAAGTAATTCAAGATGGTCACTTCCATCACCTGGGTAGGTTAACCCTTTGAGGGTCTGTCCTGTAGTTCTACAGCTTTGAAGTCAGGGTCCAAGCTATAGTTATATGCCATTAGCTCAGCTCACTCAGATAAGCTGTGAGCAGTAAATGTGGGCCTAGATATGAGAGAATGCATCTATGTGGTAAGTGTACACCATATAAAAAAATCCTGCAGCATGCAGTGCACAGTGAGAAAAAAAGATCGTGTTTTTTTATTAAAACTGATTTTGCGGTGTATTTTCCTATGTTTTTTACAGTTGTATTTGTGGTTTCTTGGTCTCTTTTGATAGAATGGAAGATATATTACAGAAATAGAGATGATTTTGATTGGTTTTAGTACTAAAATAGCTTGAAACTGAGCTCAGAGTAACAGAAATGTTCGATTTTTGCCGATGTTCAAGAGTAAACAAAAAAAGTCATATGTCCAATACACATAAGCTGATGGGTCTAATGTGCATTCACGAATGCGCTGATATTATTTATACAATTATTACAATATTGCATCACAGTAAATCTATTTTTTTTGTAGCCAGTAAGCCTACATGCTTGGTTCCCATAGTTACCCCAGAGTGCCAAGGCATGGTGGGCATGCCACTTGAAATGGCATCACCCTGCCTCTCTCCTCAACTCAGTGTCCGGCATCCTGGAAGTAACAAGGCTATGCCTCTCTTCCAGAGGGAATGGCCCGTTGGGGCCCATATAGGCTCAAACCACACTGCCTGTGTACCCAGATAGTGCAAATAAACCAAAGGGTTCATTTGAAAAAACTGGAAACATAACTAACACACAGAGGAAATGTTATTTTAGTGCCAGGAATGCCTACATTGTTTATTTTAGACCCTATTTTGAATTGTTATTATTATTATTATAATCAAAGGGGAAGCGCTAAACCCGGAGGATTATACAGCGTCTGGGGGGGGGGGGGATGTGGAAGGCATTCAGGCTTAATTCAGGGAACTGGAGTACAGTTCCAATTCCCTAAATCAAGAGCCCCTCACCAACATCAAGGAACCTTCCTTGAGGGGCCCTATTTTGAAATCGGAATATTTTGAACTTTGTGTGAAATTGTCCAAATTATTGATTTCCAATCAATTTATTGGGTAGTTGAAATAGTTGATTGGGTGATTTCATGTGCTCAATCGATAAAATAGAAGTAATACTAACAAAATAGCTAAGAATTTGGTTGACTTGAATAATGTAATTGGCCTAAAGTATGAGTCAAAGTCGGCAAAATTGCTGATGCGAAAATATTAGACACAGCAAAATTTGCGAGAGCATAATTTCTTTAACTTTCCATCAAATTTCATACTTCTTGTTTTATTACCTTCAGAAAAAGATTCTCTACCATTTAATTTTTTTCTTTTTTTTTAATTTTTGGACTCTGGCTGTCACTCTGAGATTTGGCCTCTGGACCCTCAAAGGGTTAAGGAACATCTTTTGAGGTAGATGGGAAGCATTTTGAACAGTTTACATAGCTACATAGTTCACATAACTTTGTAGCTAAACTCTCAAAACTTTTCAAAGGTAGCAATGTTAGTTTTCCATTGATGCACAAGTTTGTGAATATGGTTATTATCAACAAAGTTGCACATCACTGCAATAACAAAATTTTATTGGTAATTGTTGCTACACCAGTGATTGTAACGAAAAGTAGGTTTCCTTTAATGTTTCCCAACATGTCTTGAGCTAATGTGTGTCACATCTTGAATGACCTGTAATGTGCAACTTAGTGGGCACCATGCTTCTATAAATATATATACTGTAGAGAACTTAAGATGGGGTTTAAATAAAAGTTTCATGAGCTTCAGTATTCACAAGTAACCCACAACACAGAGAGGAAGCAAGAGGACATTTTGGTCTGTTTTGGTCCATTATTAACTCACAACTGAGAGAAAAAAAGGTAGTCAGAAGACAGGTCTGGTGAAGTGAGGAGAAACTCAGAATACAGGTCTGGTGAAGAAATGAGAAAGTCAAGACAGGTTAAGGATTTTCTACACCTGACCAGTCTTCTCTTTGCCTCTTTGTCTCATAGGTTTCTCCTCAATTTATCTTGGTTATTACTTGATAATGGTTCATGTCTGACTGAAATGTTGTCTAACATTTTGTCTCCAGAGTCTGGGTTAGCTGCGAATTGTTGTGGCTACTGTTAAAATGTGACTTATTCTACTTGAACCATTCAAGGAAAGTTAATTAATTTTCCTTCAGGATCGTGTACTATTAGATGATATGCATGATTTATGAACATGTTAAGGATATAATGGAGTAGTTAATGATAGTTTAATGCTTTCCAGGTTACATAGATGAATCTGACTGCTGGAGTCATGAAGACGACGAGATCAGTCAACAGTATTACAGACCCAGGAAACTCAAAGACCGTGATACCATATCCATGATGTCCCTTGACTCGTGTGACTCCAGGGAACTGACCAACAGAGAAGCAGCTGACATACGTCGACGTCTCTCTGAAACTGTTAATGCCCCAAAGACAGGATTTAAGAGAGACCCAGATGATCCATCAGCAGCAGCATTGAAAGAACCTTGGCAGGATAAGGTTTGTATACTTGCACACACACACACACACACACACACACACACACACACACACACACACACACACACACACACACACACACACACACACACACACACACACACACACCACCTCTCTCTCTCTTCTCTGTCTCTCTCTCTCTCTCTCTGTCTTCTCTCTCTCTCTTCTCTCTGTCTCTCTCTCTCTCTCTCTCCTCTCTTCTGTCTCTCTCGTCTCTCTCTGTCTCTCTCGTCTCTCTCTCTCTCTCTCTCTCTCTCTCTCTCTGTCTCTTCTCTCTCTCTCTCTGTCTCTGTCTCTCTCTGTCCTCTCTCTCTCTCTCTGTCTCTCTCTCTCTGTCTCTCTCTCTGTCTCTCTCTCTGTCTCTCTCTCTCTGTCTCTGTCTCTCTCTCTGTCTCTCTCTCTGTCTGTCTCTCTCTCTCTCTCTCTCTCTCTCTCTCTCTCTCTCTCTCTCTCTCTCTCTGTCTGTCTCTGTCTCTCTCATTTTTACACAGGGTTTGACAAGATAAAGGATCCTTAGCTTTATTGACAAGCTATTTACAGGTTAAGGATTCCTAACTTTAATGACAAGCTAAGAGTTGTTACCTACATCAGCTCATTTTTATTGTTATGAGACATACAAGTAGGGAACAGGATGAAGTTGGAACCATCTGTGGGCTAGCATTTTCATTTGATCAACTGACTTTATCTCATGACATCATAATGCTGTACAAATGTGTTCCATGCTCGAGTCATCCTGGGGGATAAATGATCTCAGATGAAGTTATGTTCTGGAGAAGGGTATAGCCAGAGTGAAGTTGCTGCTTTCTGCCTGTTTTGTGGTATAGAAGCTTGCTTCACGCTGTCCTTGAAGTGGATCCAAGTGTGGTACTTTGACAATATTGGCCTTGTACATAACAGTAAGCCCACCCACATCCCTCCTGTGTTGAAAGCTCTGCTGAAATGACAGATCTATCCAGGATTGGTCCAGGCGAGAGGTGAGACGTCTTGCTTTGTTTTCTTCTCTGTCAAGCAGTCACAGATGAGAGGGGGGGGGGAGGCAAACCAAGAAAGTGGAGCATACTCAAGGTATGAGCATACTTGTTCCTCATACAGAATCTTGCATCCCCTACTGTCAAGCAGATGAGAGATACGGCAAAGTGCTGTAAGCTTCCTGGCTGCATTGTTTGCAAGATTTACAACATTGTTTTTCATGGTCAGTTTGGAGTCAAATTTCATCCCAAGGATATCAACTTCTTCCCCAGGTGCCAACGCCCTCCCATTCATCCTTACTATTGCACCAGCATTACCATCATGGTGCCTAGAGACCATCATCGTTTATGTTTTCTCAGGTGCAAATGTTACTTGCCATCTATTTCCCCAAGCTGATACATCACTTAGTTGGTGATTGATGTAGCTTAGAGCAGCTGGCATTTCTTCTCTTGGATAAGTGAATGTCAGTGTACAGTCGTCTGCATATGCATGGGATTCTGAGATGAGATGAAGAAGGTCATTGAAGTAGATGTTCTCTAACAATGGTCCCGGCACACTTCCTTGTGGAACATTTGCCCCAGTAAGATGTCTTGCTGATTCCGTTCCATTGAGAACTACCCTTAGAGATCTACCATGAAGGTAATCACTGAGGAGACTTAGCATAGAGCCTGTAGTTCCCAGAGCTTGCAGTTTTGCTAAGAGGCCCTGGTGCCACACCCGGTTGAAAGGACCAGCAATGTCCAGTGCTACCACACAGTTGACTTTGGATTCATCCAGTGACTGGTGCCACTTAGTGGAGAGGTTTAACAACAGGTCAGGAGCAGAGAAACCTTTCCTGAAGCCATATTGATGGTCACAAAGTAGTGAGTGGTAGTCAAAAAACTCTGTCATTTGTTTTGAGATTATTGTCTCAAGGATCTTGCCAGTGATTGACAGCAGCGACACTGGTCTGTAGTTGCTGATTTCTGCTCTCTTGACTCAAGAGACTCTATGACCGCGGGTTCAATCCCGGCCGGGGGTATGGTTTTTTCTGCTCTCTTCTTTTTGTGAACAGGGACTACATTTGTCTCTTTCCACAGAGAAGGCCATTTACACTACTAGGCAGTGCTGAAAGATGCGAGTTAGAGGTGCTGCTAGCTGGTTTGCACATCTCGGCAATCTTGGGCTCAACTTGTCTGGGCCCACAGCCTTTTCTTGGTCAAGCGATTTAAGAAGGAAATGCACCTCCTCCTGCCTTATTATCACCACTGACAGTTTTGACACAGTTCTTGCAGCTAGCCAAGGAGGGTCCCTTGCTGGATCAGGAACTTGCATTTTGGTAGCAAAGTGTTCGGCAAAGAGGTCCGCTTTCTCTTGACTACTAGTAGAGGTGGTCCCATCCTGTTGATTTAGAGGTGGAATAGAGATCATCAGGCAGATAACCTTGTCTGTCCTTGACCAGGGACCACCAGGTTTTGGAGCCTACTCTACCTGATGCTAGCTTTCTTTTTGTGTCCACCTCCCATTTAGCGATGGCCCACTTTTGAATGTCGCCCATATGCCTACAGGCTTGCCTGTGCAAGTTTCTGTTACAGGTGGTAGGATGTCTCTTATACCTTTTCCATGCCTTGTACTTAACAGTAGCAGCCTCTCTACAATGAAAGTCAAACCAAGGCTGATCTGTAGGCTTCGTCACATATTGCCGGTGAGGAATGTGTTCTTGTTGTAGATTAAGGATGTGTCTAGTGAAGGCTTTCACTTGGTTGTCAACATCCCCTTGGAGAAGAGCATTCCAATCGGTGGTGGCAACCTCAGAGCAAAGGGCTAGCCAATTACCTCTTTCCTGTAGCCAGGTTGTGCGTGTGGATACCTCACCTCGTTCTGTTGGGATCTTAAGTGTCATAAAAACAGCCTTGTGGTCAGATGATCCAACATAGCCAAGGGGTTGACAAGTGACTGTACCACCTTTCTCTCTCTCTCTCTCTCTCTCTCTCTCTCTCTCTCTTTCTCTTTCTCTTTCTCTCTCTCTCTCTCTCTCCTCTCTCCTTCTCCTCTTTTCTCTCTTTCTCTTTTCCTCTTTCTCTCTCTTTCTCTCTCTCTCTTTCCTCTCTCTTTCCTCCTCTCTTTCTCTCTTCTCTCTCTCTTCTTTCTCTCTCTTCTCTCTCTCTCTCTTCTTCTCTCCCCTTCTCTCTCTTTCTCTCTCTTTCTCTCTCTTTCTCTCTCTTCTCTCTCTTTCTCTCTCTCTCTCTCTTTCTCTCTTCTCTCTCTCTTTCTCTCTCTCTCTCCTCTCTCTTCTCTCTCTCTCTCTCCTTTCTCTCTTTAGCTACCAAAATTCTTTTCTTCAAAATCATTTGTTCATTTAAGCCTGAACACTTTAGTGCATTATTAATAGTCATCTTTATCCTGGAAAACCCTATTATTTTGAATAGTAAACAGACTATCATCTTAAATATATAAGAGTGTCATCCAGTGGAAACAAGAAAGGAAAGAATACTCAGGACCTGATGTAGCTTGCTGATATTGGCTACAACTGTTTTCTTAACACACATCCAGCATCCCACTGTTCAACTGAAGGGGAACACTGTGTATACTTTCACAACCACCTCCTTAACACTGAGAGTGGTGTGAAACTTGTTCTTTTGTAGTGTGGTGGTGATAACACAGTGTGTGGTGTAGCCATGTTACCATAACTGCTCTTAAGTTAGTCATGTTGCCATACATGCTCTTAAGTTGGTCATGTTACAAGACATGGTCATGTTGCCTGCCAGTCATACTCTTAACCCTTTCACTGTCCGTCACGTAGAACTATGCCATTGAGACCAAGGTCTCTGACGTAGTTCTACGTCATGGGCTCAGCTTACTCAGATAAGCCGTGAGCTGTAAATTTTGACCTGGATATGAGAGAATGGGTCTGTGCAGTGAGTGTACACTGTATAAAAAATCCTGGTGGCCTGGTGGTTAACGCTCTCGCTTCACACGGTGAGGGCCTGGGTTCGATTCCCAGCCAGAGTAGAAACATTGGACGTGTTTCTTTCCACCTGTTGTCTATGTTCCCCATCAGTAAAATGGGTACCTGGGTGTTAGTCGACTGGTGTGGGTCGCATCCTGGGACACTGACCTAAGGAGGCCTGGTCACAGACCGGGCCGCGGGGGCGTTGACCCCCGGAACTCTCTCCAGATAAACTCCAGATAAACCACTCAGTGCTTGATGGGAAAAACAGAACTGTGTGTATGGTTTAAAATAGCAATTTTAAGTTGTTTCTTGAATGGGTTTTATGGTTTTATTGGCAGTTTCTTGGTGTCATTTGATAGAATGGAATAGAGATGATTTTGATTGGTTTGAGTACTGGAAGTAGCTTGAAACTGACATTCCAGAGGATAGGTAAGGCCTTCCATACAACCCACAGTCTGTTTTATAGGTTCTTTAGACCTGTTTCAATTATTGGAAAGCTGTAAACCATGACCAATCATTCCTGATTATATTTTGTTATCCTAGAAATAGAGTAAATCTTCCAGTTTTGTGTGAATAAGAATTCAGAATGGAAGGGAAGTGTAATATAGGAGAGGCCTGGAGGTGTGACAGGAATGTCTTCATTGTTTGTCTTGCACAACCTTTTAATTGGTATTTTTTTTAATATTGTGTAAAATTAGCCAAATTGCCGAATTCTTTGCACTTTATAGGGTAGTTGAAATACGTAGTTAAATGAGTGGTTTCTTGTGCTTAGTCGATAGGACAGAAGGCATACTAGCAAAACAGCCAAGAATATGACCAAATAGAGCAGTGTAATTAGCTTAAAATAAGACTTAGAATGGGCGAAATCACTGATGCATAATTGTACGTAATTCCATGAGTTTTCCATTCAATTCCATACTTTTGGTGTCAATACCTTCAGAAAAAGATTCTTTACCATTTTAGATTCTTTTTTTTATCAGCAGTTTGCATTAAATCCCAGTGACAATTATTGTTCCATGATCGTAAGAATAATGGAGAGTTCTCAATTTAATGCACTTTGTTAAATCAGAAATTGATTTATCCAGTAAACGAAAAATTTGAATTTAACCCTTTCAGGGTTTCAGCCGTACTAGTACGGCTTATGCACCAGGGCCCATGACGTACTAGTACTCATAAATTCTAGCGCCTTCAAATCTAGTGAGGGAAAGCTGGTAGGTCTACATGTGAAAGAATGGGTCTGTTCGGTCAGTGTGCGCAGTATAAAAAAAATCCTGCAGCACACAGTGCGTAATGAGAAAAAAAAAAACTGTGTTTTTGGATTAAAACAGTGACTTTGCACTGTATTTTCATATGATATTTACCATTGAATTCTAGTTTTCCTGGTCTCATTATATAGAATGGAAGACATATTACAGAAATTGAGATGATTTTGACTGGTTTTACAATGAAAAGTACCTTGAAATTGAGCTCAAAGTAGCAGAAATGTTCGATTTTTACCAAAGTTCAAAAGTAAACAAATCATGCTAAGCGTCCAATACACGTCAACTGGTGAGTCTAATATTCTTTCACAAGCGTGCCGATATTATTTATACCATTTCTACACTAATGCAGTAGTCTGTATAACAGTAAATCTTCTATTTTTTGTGAGAATAAAAATTCAAAATGGAAAGCAAAAGAATGTAAGAGGGGGGTGGGGACATGACTAATGAACAGAGGAAATGTTATTTTAGTGCCAGGAATGTCTTTCTTGTTTATTCTGGACCCTATTTGGAAATTGGCATCTTTTGAAATTTGTGTGAAATTGGCAAAATTGCTAAATTCTGACCACTGTATTGGATAGTTGAAATCGGTAAATTGGTGTTTTCTTGTACTCATTCGATAGAAAAAATGGAGTTCTAGCGAAATAGTTATGATTTTTGTCGACTAGTACATTGGAATTGGTTGAAAATAGGGCTCAAAGTGGGCAAAATCGCCGATGCGTGAACATTGTTGAGACCGCTAACTTCGTGAGAGCATAATTCCGTAAATTTTCCATCATACTTCATACTTTTGGCGTCATTATGATCAGGAAAAGATACTCTATCTTTTCATAAGAATTTTTTTTTTTTTTAATTTGGGGGGACCCTGAGAACAAGTCTCTGAGAGGGCCTGTGGGCCCTGAAAGGGTTAATGGATTTTTGTCCATTAAATGCAAAATCAATTTACCTAGCAGACTATAACAGTAACAGACAGTTCTGGACTTAACCCTTTGACTGTCGCGGCCGTATATATACGTCTTACGAGGTACAGTGTTTGACGTATATATACTCATAAATTCTAGCGGCTTCAAATCAAGCAGGAGAAAGCTGGTAGGCCCACATGTGAGAGAATGGGTCTGTGTGATCAGTGTGCACCATATAAAAAAAATCCTGGAGCAGGCAGTGCATAATGAGAAAAAAAAAAACTCCGACCAATTTTTTTAATTAAAATGCCGAATTTGTGGTCTATTTTCGTATAGTATTTATGGTTGTATTCTCGTTTTCTTGGTCTCATTTGATAGAATGGAAAACATATTATAGAAATAGAGGTGATTTTGATTGATTTTACTATAAAAAGAACCTAGAAATGGAGCTCAAAGTAGGGGAAATGTTTGATTTTTGCCAATGTTCAAAAGTAAACAAATGATGCCATTGTCCAATAAATGTCCAACTAGCCATTCTAATATGCAGTCATGAATGGGTTGATGTTATTTATACAATTATTACAGTATTGCAGTAGTCTGCATAATAGTAAGTCTTCTATATTTTGTTTGAATAAAAATTCAAAATAGAAAGCAAGAGTAATATCAGAGGGGCCTGGAGACATGACTGATGAGCAAAGAAAATGTTATTTTAGAGCCAGGAATGTCTGCATTGTTCATTCTGGACCTTATTTTGAAATTGTCATATTTTTTTAGTTTTCGTGAAATTGGCCAAATTGCAAATTTCTGACCACATTATTAGGTAGTTGAAATCGGTAAATGGGCAGTTTCTTGTACTCAATCAATAGAAAAAATGGAATTCTAAAAAAATAGCTATGAGTTTGGGCGACTGGAACAATGGAATTAGCTGAAAATAGGGCTCAAAGTGGGCGAAATCGCCGATTTGTAAACAGTGCCGAGGTCACTAACTTCGCGAGAGCATAATTCCGTCAGTTTTCCATCAAATTTCGTTTTTTTGGTGTCATTACAATCGGGAAAAGGTTCTCTATCATTTTATAAGAAAAAAATATTTTTTTTTTTTTTTTAAATTTTGCGACACCAGGAGACACCTCAGGATTGGGGGTTGCGACAGTCAAAGGGTTAATGGACTATGTTCATTATTTTCTGGACACCTATCTGGAGGGCATTCCGGGGATCAACGCCCCCGCGGGCCGGTCCACGATCAGGCCTCGCGGTGGATCAGGACCTGATCAGTGAGGCTGTTACTGCTGGCCACACGCAATCCAGTGTACGAACCACAGCCCGGCTGATCCAGCACCGTCTTTAGATATCTGTCCAGCTCCCTCTTGAAGACAACCAGGGGTCTACCGGTAATGCCCCTTATTGCTGGTGGGAGGCTGTTGAACAGTCTTGGGCCCCACCTAACTGCAGATTTTGCCCATTAAATCTGAAGTCTGTTAAATTAAGGTCAGATAGGGGTTTTATTGTAGTTTCCTTCTTTACGTATCACTACCTTGGGAAATTACTGAAGTATATTTTTTTGTGAATCAATGTAATGTAATGTAAAATTAATGATAATTTTTTACATAAATTTATGTTGCCAAACTGTAACATTGACACAATTGCAGGTGGAGCGTATTCGAGAAAGTTCTCCTTATGGGCACTTAGCATCCTGGCGCCTTCGGTCTGTGATCGTCAAGTGTGGGGATGACCTAAGACAAGAGTTGCTTGCTTACCAACTTCTCTGTATGTTCCAGAAAATTTGGGCAGAAGAAAAAGTGTCTTTGTGGCTTAGACCTTACAAGTGAGTACTGTACATGTTGTCTAGTGGTCAGTAACAAATATAGAAATGCTCTACTCTGTTGATCACTTAATAATTCCCTCTTTTTGATTCATAGAGATTCTAATATTTACAATATTTGTGTGTTTTAATAGTATATATAAAAGTTCTTGGTCTTGGCTGTGTCCTAGTTGTGTGTAGTAATATTCACTTACATGATAGCTCAGTCATGGATCTTACTGCACCTTTGAATATTGTTTGTTTGTCAGGAAACATTTTGTTATCTTGTTTCATGTTTCAAGTCTCTTACTTGAGGGGATGATACATTAAAATTTGGTTGGATATTTTAAATATCTGCAGGCATTAGAGAATTCTGTATAAGTGTTTATCATTACATAAAGGAGTTTCTTCTTCTTGGAATAAATTAGAATCAAATCTGAAATGAATCAAGACATGAAAGTAGGTGGAGAAGCCAGAGAGATTTGATTTTATCAAGTTAATGAAATATATTTTTGCACTTATTTTTGTGGTAGCATTTGCTACTATATTAATCTTCAATATTTACATCATAAGTTGTTTACTATTAAAGTTTTAATGAGCAGTTATTGAAGCACTTCTGACTTCACATTACTGGTGATGATCTAAGTACATGCAGGTGTTGCAAGGTTTACTAAAAGTTCTGATACCCAGTAATGAAGAAATCAGATGTAAATATGGATATGTGTATGTTTAAGAGAAATGCAATTTAACCCTTTCAGGGTTCCGACCCCGAGAAACTTGTCCGCAGGGTCCAAGAATATAAAAAACAAATTTATTGTTTTTCTTATGAAATGGTAGAGAATCTTTTTCTAAAGGTAATAAAACAAAAAATACGAAATTTGATGGAAAATTAATGAAATTACACTATTACAAATTTTGCCATGTTAGCGATATTTATGCATCGGTGATTATGCTCAGTTTGACTCCCATTTTAGGCCAATTACATTATTCTAGTCGACCAAATTATTAGCTATTTAACTAGTATTACAGTGGACCCCCGCATAGCGTTGGCATCGCATAGCGTTAAATGCACACAGCGATACATTTTATCGCTAAAATTTTGCCTTGCATAGCACTAAAAAATTCGCTCAACGCGATTCATCCGAGACGCGTCCATGCGGCCTGAGCCAGCCTCACTTGTTCTGCCAGTGGCATTGTTTACAAGCCAGCCTCCGCGGTAACATTCAAGCATACAATCGGAACATTTCGTATTATTACAGCCTTTTTATAGTGATTTCACCTGAAAAATAAGTGACCATGGGCCCCAAGAAAGCTTCTAGTGCCAACCCTACAGGAATAAGGGTGAGAATTACTATGGAGATGAAGAAAGAGATCATTGCTAAGTATGAAAGTGGAGTGCGTGTCTCCGAGATGGCCAAGTTGTTTAGTAAACCCCAATCAACCATTGCTACTATTATGTCCAAGAGAACGGCAATCAAGGAAGCTGTTCTTGCCAAAGGTTTAACTGTGCTTTCGAAACAGAGATCGCAAGTGATGGAAGATGTTGAGAGACTGTTATTGGTGTGGATAAACGAAAAACAGATAGCAGGCGATAGCATCTCTCAAGTGATCATAAGTGAAAAGGCTAGGAAGTTGCACGAGGATTTAATTAGAAAAATGCCTGCAACTAGTGGTGATGTGAGTGAATTTAAGGCCAGCAAAGGTTAGTTTGAGAGATTTAAGAGGCGTAGTGGCATACATAGTGTGATAAGGCATGGTGAGGCTGCCAATTCGGACCGAAAAGCAGCTGAAAAATATGTGCAGGAATTCAAGGAGTACATAGACAGTGAAGGACTGAAACCTGAACAAGTGTTTAATTGTGACGAAACAGGCCTGTTTTGGAAGAAAATGCCAAGCAGGACCTACATTACTGAGGAGGAAAAGGCACTCCCAGGACATAAGCCTATGAAAGACAGGCTTACTCTTCTCATGTGTGCCAATGCTAGTGGTGATGGCAAAGTGAAGCCTTTATTAGTGTATCACTCTGAAACTCCCAGAGCATTCAGGCAAAAGAATATCCTCAAGGCTAATTTGTGTGTGCTGTGGAGGGCAAACAATAAGGCATGGGTCACTAGGGACTTTTTCTATGACTGGTTACACCAAGCATTTGCCCCCACTGTGAAAAATTACCTAACTGAAAAGAAATTAGACCTTAAGTGCCTCCTGGTGTTAGACAATGCCCCTGGTCATCCTACAGACTTGGCAGAGCGACTTTGTGGGGACATTACCTTCATTAAGGTCAAGTTTTTGCCTCCTAATACCACTCCTCTCCTGCAGCCCATGGACCAGCAGGTTATTGCAAACTTCAAAAAAACTGTACACAAAAGCTCTGTTTGAAAGGTGCTTTGTAGTGACCTCAGAAACTCAATTGACTCTAAGAGAGTTTTGGAGAGATCACTTTAATATCCTCAATTGTGTAAACCTTATAGGTAAGGCTTGGGAGGGAGTGACTAAGAGGACCTTGAACTCTGCTTGGAAGAAACTGTGGCCAGAATGTGTAGACCAAAGGGATTTTGAAGGATTTGAGGCTAACCCTGAGAGGAGTATGCCAGTTGAGGAATCAATTGTGGCATTGGGGAAGTCCTTGGGGTTGGACGTTAGTGGGGAGGATGTGGAAGAGTTGGTGGAGGAGGACAATGAAGAACTAACCACTGATGAGCTGCTAGATCAACTTCAACAGCAAGAGGCCACACCTGAGGAAATTGCTTCGGAGGAAGGGAGAGAGAAATTGAAGTTGCCTACTTCAAAGATTAACCCTTTGAGGGTCGACAGGCCCTCTCCGAAACTCGTTCTCAGGGTCGGCCAAATTTCAAAAAAAAAAAAAATTATTTTTTCTTATGAAAAAATAGTTTTTTTTTTTCTAAACATTATAGGATAAACAAAAAAAATTTAACATCAATACTTACGGAGATATGGATGCATGAAGTTTTCAGAAAATGAGCCGCGTATGGCAACAGCGGCGACTGCCGCTCACCCGGTAAAATTTAGTTTACTTGTATTTGAAGGTTTGTTGTTTTTTTCACTATTTTATTTTTTCACATAACTTATGTGGCCTATGAGACCAAAGTAAGGTGCAATGTACATATATACACTCGTTGTATACAACACAATAAGCACACAAACATAATTATCAATATATTGTTTACAAAACTTGTTTACAAAAACAAACAATACAAAACATTGTTTATTATTATTGTTCTATAATATATATACCAATATACAGTCACTGAACATATTCCTATTAGTTCTGCAGCTTGTGGAACTCTGAAACATGGTGTCATACACAATGGTGTTTTATCTTTCTCCCTCATTCTATCTCTTTCAATCTGTCTCTCTCTTTCTATCTGTCTGTCTATCTCTGTCTCACAGGTACACATAAATACAAGTATACATAGTATAAATTACCTAGGATAACCCAAGAAATCCAGACAAAGTGCTATAATCTGCTTGAAGATGTGAGTAAAAGTGATGACACAGTCTTGTGGCTCTCTGAGACAGAGAGCTAGACGGATAGACAGATAGACAGGGAGCTTGACAGACAGGCAAATAGACAGACAGAAATGTTAGTATACCAGCAAAAACAAAGGGAGGGCGATGTTCATCTCATCTTTTGGCATCAGCTCTACCCTCATTTACCCTCATCAAACGTCAGCACTTATCAGATGTTATCTCCCCTTATCTTGTTACTGTCATGGGTGAACATTTATTATTACATATTATTATTATTACCTATTATTATTATTATGCATTATTATTATTATGTATTATTATTATTATGTATTATTATTATTATGTATTATTATTATGTATTATTGTTATCATTACGTATTCTTCTTCTTCCTCCTCCTCCTCCTCCTCCTCCTCTTCTTCCTCCTCCTCCTCCTCTCCTCCTCCTCTCCTCCTCCTCCTCCTCCTCCTCTGCCTCCTCCTCCTCTTGCCTCCTCCTCCTCTTGCCTCCTCCTCCTCTTGCCTCCTCCTCCTCTGCCTCCTCCTCCTCCTCCATTCTTGGAACAAGTTTGAAGAGCTTGTAGTTCATAATCACTATCATTATCATCACCAATGCTCACATCTGAGTCTGGGATTTTGGAAAATAGGAGTTTCCTCTTTGATTCTGGTACAATTGAACGACGGCCCAGCACCAGAGGTGGAAGGCTGTGGGTTGTCTGGGTTTTCCTCACTATTACCCATATTATGGTCATTAGTTTCGGTCAAAACCTCACCAGAACCTTGAAACTCATCTTCACTGTCACTTCCATCTGTATTAGAACTGTCACTGGGGAACAAAAGTGTCCCAATTCGCCGAGGAGTGAGGAACTTCTTACCGCAGGGCACGGTGGAAATTGTGTACTATGATGGCATTCCCACAATGCACCACTGGGTCCCAGATTTTTTTCCTACTGCGCACACCCACCACACAGACCCATTCTCTCACATCTAGACTTATCAGCCTTTTCCTGCGAGATTTGAGGCCGCTAGAATTTATGCGTACTAGTACGACAAAAACCCCTACGCGTAAGACGTACTAGTACGACCAAAACCCTCAAAGGGTTAAGGAAATCTGTGCAAAGTGGCTTGAAGTGCAAACCTTCATGGATGAAAATCACCCTCAGAGAGCTATTGCAAGCCGTGCTGGTGACTATTACACTGACAGTGTTGTGAAACACTTTAGGAAAGTCATAAAGAAACGAGAGGTACAGGCCACTATGGACAGATATGTTGTGCGACAGAAGTCCAGTGACTCTGAAGCTGGTCCTTGTGGCATTAAAAGAAGAAGGGAAGCAACCCCGGAAAAGGACCTGACACCTCAAGTCCTAATGGAAGGGGATTCCCCTTCTAAACACTAAAACCATCCAGTCTCCCCTCCTCCCATCCCATCAATCATCACCACATCTTCAATAAAGGTAAGTGTCATGTAACTGTGCATGTTTTCTTAAGTTTGTGTGTATTAAAATTAATATTTCATGTAAAAAATTTTTTTTTCATAC